TGAATGAACATCCCAAGATATTTCTGGGGCAACTGCCAAATCCCAGCAGTTAATGGAAAAGTAATTGGGGCTATTCATTATCTACAATTGTTGGCTTGGCACAAGAAGCAAAAAGTTCGAGGTGCCTGATCCCTGAGGGTGGGTGGAGCAGGTATACAGTTATCCCTAGAGAAACACGGATTCTATCAAACATCGATATGGTGCATGGAGTGTTAGTGCTACTCCACTGACGGCCCTGAAAAAAAGCCACTATACCAACGGGTCCTTGATGCTGTTAATTACAGGAATTGTATGATTCCATGGCAATTATAGGGGGATTAAAAATAATTATTCCCCAATTTTTTTTTTTTTTTTTTTTTTTTTTGATTTTTATTTTATTTTATTTTTTTTTTTTTGTTTTTTTTAATATTTAGATTTTTTTTTTTATCAGTCTTTATTGTTCATATTATTACAAAGGTTCCTCATTTCTTCCCCCCTCCACCAGGTTCCCAGCCCACCCTCCGTCCCCCCCCCACCCCCCATTGTCCTCATCCATTGGTGCAGTTTATGTTCAGTCTCTTCTTCCCTCAATTTCCCCAATAGTAAATCCCTTTTCAGATAGTAAATCAGTTACTTAGCATTTTCTCATATCAATAATACCTCCACATGCCCCATGATACACTTCACACAAAAGACATTTCCTACTAGGTCAACCAGCCTCATCCAGGCCCCACCCAAGGCACTCACAGATCAACACCCCAGTCCTAAACTAACTCAACACATCCAGATCTAAGCCTTCATCACTTGATTCAGCAGACCCTCAAGTTCCCACGAGAGTTTCCAGCCATGTCTGAGAAGCAGCCGTGGGGCAGGGGCAGGCAAGGAGCGAGCTGTTCTGGGCCTGGCTGCTCAGGGCCTGGCCTCTGTTGCTCTGGTTCATTCCACAACCAGCTGCTCCGGGTCTGGTCACTGCCGCTCCCGACCTAGTTGCTCTGGACTTGGCTGCTGCTGCTCCGGGCCTGGCCGCTCCCAGCCTGGCAGCCGCTGCTCCGGGCCTAGCCGCACCCGACCCGCCTGCTCCCCCGGGCCTGGCCGCTCCCAGCCTGGCAGCCGCTGCTCCGGGCCTGGCCGCACCCGACCCGGCTGCTCCCCCGGGCCTGGCCGCTCCCAGCCTGGCAGCCGCTGCTCCGGGCCTGGCCACACCAGCCCCGCCTGCTCCCCCGGGCCTGGCCGCTCCCAGCCTGGCAGCCGCTGCTCCGGGCCTGGCCGCACCAGCCCCGCCTGCTCCCCCGGGCCTGGCCGCTCCCAGCCTGGCAGCCGCTGCTCCGGGCCTGGCCGCACCCGACCCGCCTGCTCCCCCGGGCCTGGCCGCTCCCAGCCTGGCAGCCGCTGCTCCGGGCCTGGCCGCACCAGCCCCGCCTGCTCCCCCGGGCCTGGCCGCTCCCAGCCTGGCAGCCGCTGCTCCGGGCCTGGCCGCACCCGACCCGCCAGCTCCCCCGGGCCTGGCCGCTCCCAGCCTGGCAGCCGCTGCTCCGGGCCTGGCCGCACCCGACCCGCCTGCTCCCCCGGGCCTGGCCGCTCCCAGCCTGGCAGCCGCTGCTCCGGGCCTGGCCGCACCCGACCCGCCTGCTCCCCCAGGCCTGGCCGCTCCCAGCCTGGCAGCCGCTGCTCCGGGCCTGGCCGCACCCGACCCGCCTGCTCCCCCGGGCCTGGCCGCTCCCAGCCTGGCAGCCGCTGCTCCGGGCCTGGCCGCACCAGCCCCGCCTGCTCCCCCGGGCCTGGCCGCTCCCAGCCTGGCAGCCGCTGCTCCGGGCCTGGCCGCACCCGACCCGGCTGCTCCCCCGGGCCTGGCCGCTCCCAGCCTGGCAGCCGCTGCTCCGGGCCTGGCCGCACCAGCCCCGCCTGCTCCCCCGGGCCTGGCCGCTCCCAGCCTGGCAGCCGCTGCTCCGGGCCTGGCCGCACCAGCCCCGCCTGCTCCCCCGGGCCTGGCCGCTCCCAGCCTGGCAGCCGCTGCTCCGGGCCTGGCCGCACCCGACCCGGCTGCTCCCCCGGGCCTGGCCGCTCCCAGCCTGGCAGCCGCTGCTCCGGGCCTGGCCGCACCAGCCCCGCCTGCTCCCCCGGGCCTGGCCGCTCCCAGCCTGGCAGCCGCTGCTCCGGGCCTGGCCGCACCCGACCCGCCTGCTCCCCCGGGCCTGGCCGCTCCCAGCCTGGCAGCCGCTGCTCCGGGCCTGGCCGCACCCGACCCGCCTGCTCCCCCGGGCCTGGCCGCTCCCAGCCTGGCAGCTGCTGCTCCGGGCCTGGCCGCACCTGACCCGGCTGCTCTGGGCCCGGCTGCCCCGGGCCCGGCCGTTCCAAGCCTGGCCACTCCCGACCTGGATGCTCTGGGCTTGGCTACTGCTGTTCTGGGTCTGGCTGCTCCCACCCCGGCTGCTCTGGGCCCGGCTTCTTCGGGCCCGGCCACTCCGGGTCTGGGTGTTCCTGGACTGGCCACCCTGGGCTTGGCCACCTCCGCCTCATGCCTGGCTGCCACTGCCCCAGGTCTGGCTACTCCAGTGCTGGCTGTTGATTCTCTGGTTCTGGCTGCTGTTGTTCTGGGGCCTGGCCGTTGCTGCTCCGGGTCTGGCTGCCACTGCCTTGTGCCTGGCCACTCTAGGCCTGGCCGTCGCTGTTCCAACATTCTGTCCTTTTTTTTTCTTTTTAAAACGCATTTATGTTGCAATGTTGGCTGGTGAGTTGAGTTCTGACTTAGTCTTTGATTTTTCAAGATCTTCTTTGTATTCTTTCTTAAGTAATTTTACTATTTTTTGCTCTCACTTGATTTCTTCACATTGAGAACTTCTTTGGTTTCTTCCTCCTTGTCCTGGGAGCTCAGCAGGTTGGCCTGTGGCACCCCTTTGTTCTCTGCGGGCTCCTGTGCTGCTTCAGCCTGTTGCCGGGACGGCGCCGCCCAGGAAGCAGCCCCCGGCCTTGGCTCCATTGCCCGAGCTCAGTGGTCAAAGGCTCAGGGGCACCCACGCCCCCAGGGGCCCCGTGCCCGCCTCCTTGCTTGTGCCCGGTTGGCTGGAGTCCGGCAGGGGCTTCCGCTCCCCTCCGCGTTCCCCCAGCCTAGAGCTTTTTTTTTTTTTTCTTCTTCCTGCTAGGGAAGTCCAGCATCAGAGTCAACAGACTGTCCTCTGCGCGCAGTTTGCGCGAGTCCCACAGACTGTCCTCTGCGCGCAGTTTGTGCGAGTCCCGGGGGCCCGGCCTTTCGCCGCTCTCCCCGGACTCCACCTCACAGCCCCGTCTCCCTCTGCCTGAGCCTGGGTCCCCAGGGATTGGCCCAGAACTGGGGTTCGGAGCAGTCCGGACTGAGGCTCAGCGCGGCCGGAGGCCTTGTTTCTTCCGGCTAGGGCAACCCAGCATCAGAGTCAACATTCAGTCCTCTGCGCGCATTGCGCGCGACTCCCGGGGCCCTGCCTTTCGCCGTTTTTCTGCCTCACGGCCCCGTCTCCTCCCGCCGGAGCCTGAGTCCCCAGGGTCTGGCCCATAACTGGGGCTCAGCGCTGCAGGTTCGGGGGTTCAGCCCAGGGTGGAGGTTTTATATTTTCTATTCCCCAATTTTTAAACCACTCCGAAGTTCACTCGGATTCATCACATGAAGGCTGTGACACTTAGGCACAGCAGCACACACTGTTGGGGGCCACCTCTGCTCAAAAACAGTGGCCACCTGGAAGTTTTGGGGTTCAGGGGTGAGGACCACGCAGGACACTCAAGGGTACTGTTTGTTCAGTGTGAATCTCAAATTTAGTCTCCCTAACTCTATAAATCCTTTTTATCCACATGGTGTTTCAGGATGATGCTCTAAACAACTGGGCTACCTGGCCAGGGCCTTAACCATGTCTTTTATTTTCTACTAGAAGCCGGTATACGAAATTCGTGCACAGGTCAGGGGTGGGGGACAGGGGGACGAGAGTGTCCTTCAGCCCAGCCTTTACCCTCTCCAATCTGGGATCCAATCCCAGTGGATCAGGCCTAAACGGGCTGTTGGACATCCCTCTCACAATCCAGGATTGCTGGCTCCCAACTGCTCACCTGCCTGCCTTCCTGATTGCCCCTAACTGCTTCTGCCTGCCAACCTGATCACCCCTTAACTACTACCCTGTCAGCCTGTTTGCCCCTAACTGCCCTCCCTTGCAGGTCTGGTTACCCTTAACCGCCCTCTCCTGCAGGCCTTATCTCCTCCCCACTCCCAAACTGCCCTTCTCTGCAGGCATGGTTGCCCCCAAATTCCCTCCTCTGCCAGATTGATCACCCCCAACTGCCCTCCCTTGCAGGCCTGGTCCCTCCCAACTTCCCTCCCCTGCTGGCCATCTTGTGGTGGCTGTCTTGTGGTCTTTGACTACATGAGGGCAGCCATTTCGTGTGTTGGAGTGATGGTCAACCTGCATATTACTCTTTTAATTGATAGGATACTCTGGTGCACAATATCAACATGACTTATTCCTGTTGACATTGACCTTGATCACCTGGATGAGGCAGTGTTTGTCAGGATTTTCTGCTGTAAAGTCTCTATTTTAGCCTTCTCACCCCTTCCCCCCTTCCATACTGTACCCTTTGGAGAGAAGTCTCCATGTGTAGTCCATACTTAATAAGGAGGGAGTTATATGGTTTCTTAAATTAAAAATTTGAATTCTTCTGATGTATCTATTCCCCTTCACTCAATCATTTACATCAGTGTGCATTTACATAAATCATAAATATTTACTTTATACTTTGGATTATAATCAAGTACTACTTTATCTTTTGTTCAAATTGTTACAGCTTTGGCCATTGGGAACTTTTCAATTGGCTACTGTGTTCCTTTGACATATTTCTGCTATATGGGGTTTTTATTGTTATTTTTGTGCACTTATTTTCTGACACTAAAAGATGTTCTAGGCTCATTATATTTCCTGCTCCAGTCCTAGAATCAGCCATTTATCCAGTGCTATTCATTTTTTTTTTTTTTCTGAACAGGTTTTATTATACAGATGGGGTGGGGCTCAGTCCTTCTTGGCTGCTGCCTTCCTCATGGCTGCAAGGACATTGCTCAACTCCTCTCTCTTCCTCTTGGCGCGAATGTGTGTCCCCACCCTTTTCTTGATGAACTTCAGGGCCCTCTTGTCCTTAGAGACCTTGAGCAGCTCCATGGCACGACGCTCATAGGGGGCAAAGCCACACACCTCTCGGATCATGTCCCGAACGAACTTGGTGTGCTTGGTGAGGCCCCCGCGGCGGCAGCGGCGGCGGCGGCGGCGGCTATGCCTCGGCTTGATCACGTTCTTGGTCACCTTATGGCCCTTGTTGAGGCCCACGGCCATGGGGTAGCGGAGAGCTATGGCCCAAGCCGCACCGGAGGCCCTGGGGTACGGATCTGTGCTATTCATTTTTTAACAATTTATTTTGTTATATTTTTAACTTTAAAATTAAAATATTCAAAAGATAAATGTACAGCTTAGAGAATTCTTATAAGGAACATACCCTTCCAATGTTGTGCTGAAGCTGATTCGCAGTCTCCTAAGAGTTGTTTGTTCAATCTCTTCCCAACTCCACATCCAATGACATCATGTTGGTAGCTTGAAATTGGCCATGGTGGTAGTATTTACACGATGGAAACAGGAAATGCTAAAAGTCAGGGCTTTTTTCCCCCCTAGAGAGCCAGCTGTTAAATACCAGCAAGCTACTACTTGTAATCATCATCCAAGTCAAGAAATAAAAACACAAGCTAATAAATAAAACGTTGCCAGCCACCTCAGGAACCTCTCCATGTGTCCCAACACTGTCCTCTCTTACTAACAGAAACCCCTATCCTGACTTTTATAGTAGTCACTTCCTTGTGTCTTGTTAATGGTTTTATCACCTACTAAAGGCTTGATGCATGAAAATTCATGCAAGAGTAGGCCTTCCTTACCCCAGCTGCCAGCACTGGCTTCCCTCCAGCACCCAGGACCCGGACTGGCTTCCCTCCGGCCCTGGCTGTATCAGGAAGGACATCCGGAATGACGTCCAGTCTAATTCGCATATTACCCTTTTGTTATTACAGATGTATACATCCCTAGACACTATGGCTATTATCAGATATGATTTTTACCCTGATGTGTATTTTTTAAGGCCTTTTATCTATAGACTCCCGTTCTATCACCCCTCTCTTTTTTAACACAAAACAGTTTATTAAAACATGTGGGCCATTTTATCTGTAGATTTCCCCAATCTGTATTTTACTGATTGCATACTCATGGCATAGCTCAACATGTTTCTTTGTACTTCATTATTTACTGTATTGAATTGACATTGCTAGAATATTCCACCTAACCACAGCAGCATACACATTCTTTAAAAGTGTCCATGGAATATAGGGTGTCCCAAAAAATGTATACAATTTGAATAATTATAAAGGCAGTGTTTATTAAAATATATTTCATTCTTCAAAATTGAGCTATCAGTTATTAAAGTGTATAAACACTTTTGGGGATACCCTGTATATCAATAAGAAAACAACCAAAAACCAGGAACCAACAAGTGTAAAAAATTGAAGCCAAAAATAGTGTGTTCTCTGATCACAATAGAATGAAGTTAGAAAAGAATATCAGAAAGATAACAAGAAAATCTTCACACATTTTGCAACCAAATAACACACTTCAAAATAATCCTATGTCAAAGAAGAAATCTCAAAGGAAGTTAAAAAAAACAACCCCACCAACATTGGACCGATATACATATAGCATATCAGAATTTATGGGACACAGCTAAAGCAGTGCTCAAAAAGAAAATTTGTAACACTAAATGCTCACATTAGGAAAGAAGAAAGATCTCTGATGAATAGTCTACATTCCCACCTCAAGAACTTAGAAAAAGAAGAGCAAAAGAAACCCACATGAAGCTTAAGGAAAAGAATTATAGAGCTCAGAAAACAATGGAATTATAACAGAAAAGCAGTAGGGAAAAATCAATGCAACAAAATCTAGCTCTTCAAAAAGACTGACAAAATTGACAAACCTTTGGCAAGACTGCATATAAAAGAGAAGACGAATCACCAATATCAAGATTGAAACAGATAATATAACTACAAATCCTGCAAACATAAAAAGAAAAGAGATCCTACAAACAACTCTCTTTTATAGTTTGGCAAATTAGATGAAATAGACCATTTCCTCTAAAAGCACAAACTACCCTAATTCACCCAATATAAAATGCATAATTTGAATTACTCTATAATTATTAAGGAAATTAAATTCTTATTTTCAGAACTCTCCCCAAAGAAATCTTGAGGCTCAGATGGCTTTAATGGAGATTTTTAAACCTTTCTAAGGTTTAAAAAAATTGGCACCAATTCTACATAATCTATTCCAAAACACAGAAGAGGAAGGAACGCTTTCAAATTAATTTTATGAGGCCAGTATTACTTTGATACCAAAACCAAAGACAGTACAAGAAATGCAATCAACAGACCAATATTCCTCATGAACATTGATGCCAAAATCATTAACAAAATGTTAACAAATAGAATTCAACAACATATAAAACATTGTAAGTGATGTTTATTCAAAGAATGCAAAATTAGTCAGTAGTCAATATTTGAAAATTAAAAATGCAATCCACCATATTAACAGGCTGAATCAGAAGTCACATCAGCATGTCAATTGATTCAGGAAAAAAACTTGAAAAATTCAACACTCATCTATGACAAAACTATGAACTAAAAATAAAGGGGAACTTTCTTAATTTAATAAAGCATGTTTATAAAAACATACACTTAGTATTCTCAATAGTGAAAGGCTGAATACATTTTCCCTGAGATTGGGAACAAGGCAAGGATGTCTATTGTCACCACTTTTATTCAACATAGTACTGGAAGTTTTAGCCAGTGTAATAAAGCAAGAGAAGAAAAAGAAAAGTCATAGAGATCAGAAATAAGTAAATAATATTGTTCCTATTTGCTGATGACATGCTTATATCTGAGAAAATTCCCCCAAATTTTCAATAAAATAAAATAATCCCTGAACTAATAAGTGAGTTCATGGAAGTCATAGGATGAAAGATAAATATACAAAAATTGTATTTCTATGTACTAGCAATGGACCCATGTACACTTAAACTAAAAATACAATCCCATTCACTATCACTCAGAAAGGAGAGAGAGAGAGAGAGAGAGAGAGAGAGAGAGAGAGAGAGAGAGAGAGAGAAGAGAGAGGAAGAGAGAGAGAATCTAAAACATTTACAGTATGTTTAAAACTACAAAACATTGATTAAAGAATGAAAGAAGACTTAAGTAAATAAAGAGACATACTAGGTTCATTGATTGGAAGATGACATTGTAAAGATGTCAATTGTCTCCAAATGGATATTTAGGTTTGACACAATTCCTATCAAATTCTCAGTAAGATCTTTATTTTAGGAATGAGGAGTGTTCTAGCACTAGCTGGTTTAGCTCAGCAGGGTTAAAGCATCAACCCTTGGACTGAAGGGTTGTGGGTTTGATTTAGGTCAAGAGCATGTCTCTGAGATGCAGGCTCAATCCCTGGCCCTGGTCAGGGAACATGTGGGAGGCAACCAACATATGTGTCTCTCACACAACAATGTTTTTCTCTCTCTGTCTCTCCCTCTCCCTTCCACTCTCTCTATAAATCAATGGGGGAAAATCCTCAGGCAAAAATGAACATACACACACACACACACACATACATACAGTACATACATACATACATACACATGTAAATAAATTAACAAATAGTGTTCTGAAGTTTATATGGAACTGCAAAGAAACCAGAAGAGCTAAAATAATTTTGATAAAGAATAATGAAATGAGAGGAATTGGTCTACTCCATTTTAAGACTGATGATATAGCTGTAGTAATTAAGACTATGAAGTATTGGTGGAGGGATAAGCACAGATCAATGGAAGAGAGTAGAGAATACAGAAATAGATCCACACAGGTATACCAAACTGATTTAAAAAAATAAATTTTATTGATTTTTTACAGAAAGGAAGGGAGAGGGATAGAGAGTTAGAAACATCAATGAGAGAGCCACTGATTCAGCTGCCTCCTGCACACCCCCTATTGGGGATGTGCCCGAAACCAAGGTACATGCTCTTTTGACCAAAATCAAACCTGGAACCTTTCAGTCCGCAGGCCGATGCTCTATCCACTGAGCCAAACCGGTTAGGGCTACCAAACTGATTTTTGACAAAGGTTTAAAGTCAATTCAAAAGAGGAAAGATAACCTTTTTAAATAAATGATTGCTGGAGCAATTGGACATCTATGGGCAAAAAAAAAAAAAAGCCAACCAACCAACCAAAATACCCTTTTCCTAAATCTCTCAGTTTATAAAAAAATTATCTCAAAATGCATCAAGGACTTAAATTTACAACATAAAGCTATAAAACATTTAGGAAAAGACATATGAGAAATCTTCAAGATCTAAGGTTACACCAAAAATTCTTTGAAAACCCAAAGCATGATCCATAAATGGAAAAATTGGTAAATTAGACTTCATGAAAATGTAAAACTTTTGCTTTGCAAAGGACCCTGCCAAGAGGATGAAAATACAAGCCACAAACTGGAAAAACCTTTGCAAACCACACATTCAACAAAGGACTAATATCTGGAACATATCAAGAACTCTCAAAACCTGGCAGTTAAAAAACCAAACAATCCAATTTAAAAATGGCCCAAACATAAGAGATGTTTCTCCTAAGATGGCATGAAAATTACAAAATATCACATACAAAAATCTGCCATCAGAGAAATTCACTCTCATTAGGAGTATTCACTATCTTCCACACCCTGTATTTTTTTTCTTTTTGTTAATCCTCACCTAAGAATATATTTTCCATTGATTTTTAGAGAGGGTGGAACAGAAGGAGGGGGAGAGAGAAACGTTCATGTGTTGCCTCCCACATGGCCTTGACTGGGGGCGGGATTGAACCTGCAACCTCGGTGGGTACCCTTGACTGGGAATAGAACCTGAGACCCTTTGGTGCTTGAGCCAATGCTGTAACCACTAAGTCACATGGGCTAGGGCTCTTTATTTTCAATCCTCACTCAAGGATTTGCTTTTATGGCTTTTAGAGAAAGAGGAAGGCAGGGGTGAGGGGTTGGGAGTAGGGGGAGAGAAACAGTGATAGGTTGCCTTCTGTATGTGCCCTGACCCCAGATCAAACCTGCAATGAGAGTATGTTCCATGACCAGAAATTGAACCCACAACCTTTTGGTGTTTGGGATGATGCTCCAAGCAACCAAGCCACTCTGCCAGGGCTCCCACACCATTTTGCTTTTCTCCACAGCATTTATCACCATGGTTTGCATCATGTACTTACTCATGCATTTATTTATTGTCTGCCTCCCTTCAGGAAAATGCAGTCTCCATGTGGGTGGGGACCATCTTT